TTAATAAAAGTAATAAATAATAATTAAAATGATACGTAAAAGGACATAATAAATTATGATAAATAAAAACGCCCTGCATTCAATAAAAAGGATTAACACAGATGAGAAGTCCAATAAGCCGATATTAATTTGAGCCACGATAATGTCGATGAGACGGCATTAATTCTTTTTTTATATATTTAAACAGAGAAATTAATAAGTATCGATACGCGAATGTTAATATTGCTAATCCTTGCCGAGAGAAAAAGCAGATTTGAAGATACGCTTTTTCGTACGGGGATGAAGAACGAGATCCGTTAACAGATTGCTTTTTCCGTCCGACGGAAAGCGAACGAGAGAATAATTTTCATGCGAGAGTGACGAGGGAGAAAGAGAGGGCTGGAAGTGCGGGAAACGCAAACGGTCTCGGAACCGCGGAGGACCTTCCATGAGGAGAGTGAGCTTAAAGGAGATAGCCGGTAAAGATCCTGATGTAGGACAGCCGGGTGAAACATCGCCCGACGGCCGCGGCGTTATCCACGCGCACCATCTCTCGCGCTCGCGACAATCTTTTCGCACTTCACGAGAGGGCCCATTCCTCAACCTATGGAAATGCGACACGTCGCGAATCGCCGCGATATCAAAGAGACGGATCGAATCGATTGCTCCTTTTTCTTGTGTAATCGGCACAAGAACGATTCAATCGTGCTTTGCACAAGTTCGCCTTTACGGATTCCTACGAAGAGTCGAAAGGGGACTTGGCAACAGCTCTTCAATATACTAATTGAACGTCGTCAAAACAGAATTAAAGTTTTAATGACATTTTTCTACTTGCTAAATTGTTAGAATCACGTATTGTGAAGAAATTTTGGCCGAGAAACAACAAGGTGTTTCGAAAAACTTTCTTATTAAAAGTTTTAGTCAACATTACGCTTGAATGAAATATTTATATATATTTTTTTAGCTATTATACTTTTCTAAGTACCGATCGATTGCTCCTTCTTTTTGTGTAATCAACATAAGAACGATTTAATCGTGCTTTGCAAAAGTTTGTCTTTACGAATTCCTACGAAAAGTCGAAAGGGGACTTAGCAACAGCTCTTAAATATACTAATTGCACGTCGTCAAAACAAAATTAAAGTTTTAATGACATTTTTCTTCTTGCTAAATTATAAGAATAATGTATTGTGAAGAATATTTCATATTAAAAGCTTTAGTGAATATTATGCTTGAATTAAATATTATTTGGCTATTATACTTTCCTAAATATCAATCAATTGCTCCTTTTTTTGTGTGTAATCGGCATAAGAACGATTCAATCGTGCTTTGCACAAGTTTACTCGAGGGAAAAACCGCTGAGGGCATTGTGGTGTACAGATTTGCGGCATTACTGGGCATCACTAGGCATTTTTTGAGCATTAGTTTGGGCATTATAAAGGTAAAATAAGATAAAATAAGTTAAAAGGAGCTAAAATAAGATAAAACAAGAGAAGTAAGATTAAATAAGATAATAAGATAAAGTAATGCCCACCGGGCATTAGTGGGCATTGATGTACAAGATTTTGGTCAGCGGTTTTCCCCTCAAGTTTGCCTTTACAAATTCCTACGAAAAGTCAAAAGGGGACTTAGCAACAGCTCTTAAATATGCTAATTGAACGTCATCAAAACAGAATTAGTCTTAATGGCATTTTTCTTCTTGCTAAATTATAAGAATAACGTATTGTAAAGAATATTTTGGTTGAGAAGCAACAAGGTGTTTCGAAAAACTTTCATATTAAAAGTTTTAGAGAATATTACGCTTGAATAAAAGTTTATTTGGCTATTATACTTTCCTCTCTCTCTAAATACCATTTAAGAAATTTTCATTAACTCTCGAGCGGTATGTGTTCACACGGTTCTTTTTCTCCATTCTACGAAAAGATTGGCTTGAATTCCTTCGTCACGAGTACTAAGAATTGAGAGTATACGATGATAACAAACGTTGCAGAAGATTTCAAGAATTACGCGTGTTATTTTTTGGCATGCATTCTGATATTAAGAAAAAGATATTTCGTCTCAACAGTCGAGACGAAATATTTCATTCTCGCATCATACATCATATAGCGAAAAGATTACAATATAAGAGTGATTCACCGCGAGCTTTTACCATTCGTCATTCTCGCTACCGTCATATTTTTTACCGCGCTATATTCATAAAGTCACTTGTAACACAAAGCATTTACGAACTACTAAACTTCGCCTTCACGAGACGTTAGCTCGTATTATGGCGTTATGAGATGCTGCCGACCGACAGTTCAGGTAATTCTGTCAAGAACTCTGTGGCCTATTTTCACGGATTAGAAAAGATCCCAGCTTAACCCTCTCAGGATCCCGTAATATTTCTAATGTCACAATGCCTCTTTAGTATTTTAGAGAGATTATCCGTTCCAAGTACAATACCTTACACGCGTTTCCGACTTTAAAGGTAGCTGTAGGAAGCATCCGCAAGAAAATCGGATTTAAATTTTACGAGGCTGGAAAATCACAACATTACGGCAACACAAAATACGATTTTGTAATATTAGGAAGTTAGAAGATTAGAATGGGATACGTAACCATCGCGGCTTGAAATTGACTGAAATGTCAAAGTTACATTGAACTGATTGAATAGTCCGTTCATTTTACTTGTTATAAGTTTAAATTATTAGCGTAAGAATTGCATAGGAAAAAAACTGAATAAATACCTTCCGCCCTATAAATTTAAAGCAATGAAAAAACCCGTTAACTTAGATGAATTAAGATTTACGGACATTCCCGACAAAAAGATTCTAAGAGAGAAAGAAAAATTTCCCGCAGTGGGCGCGGTATAAAGGGTTCCGTTCGAACTTCTCTTATTTTCGTTTTGGCCGCACGACACGACAATGCTCTTAAATTCACTGCCTTGAGCTGCGGAGACAACGCCGTTATACTCGGAAACTTTCACGAAAAAAACCGGAACGTGCCGTTAGAATTAGGCTGGTCATTGTCAGGTTACATTGAAAACTCGCGAATCGAGCCGGAACGTCGCCTTTAGCTCGAGATTTGCAATCTCATCGGCGGAAAGCGCGCGGAATGTCATTGACTGCGACGTTAAAGCAGAGGAATCGAGTATTGCCGATTTAGGTAGCGCGTACGAGAGAGCAATATATCTCAAAATTTACAATTCTAGTAACTCTACTGAAATTACTACGTCAAATAACAATTAATTCTGATTGAAAGAGATGAATTAAGAACCGAGATTCGGAGTCACTCACAGCCCTGACAATAAATTTGCCCGAATAAATTTTGAATACATAAACAATCCAATAATTTTGTGGCCAGTAAATTGTGTGTTTCAATGAAAAGATCGCCTTCATATTTATCAAAGAGCCTGTCGCGAACAGGTACAGCGATAATGACAGCTTGTACGTGAGACATTAGCGTGTGCCACATAGCACTAAATTTCGGCAATTCAGGGCGAACTTTAAATTGGATTTGAAAACTTGCTCCCACCATTTTTTTCTACGAGTCTACATGCACCGGTGACACGCACGCAGATATGTTTCGTATGATCGAGAGCTTCTGTATTTTACGATCGTACGATTTTATTTCCTTTTTTTTTGCGGCGTGGGATCACTTTCGCGTTTCACTGCATTGTGCGAGCTCGGAGCGACAGACTGCGCGTGACAGGCGCCACGGCATAAACATCGATCTGCGAATATTACCGTGAAGCATTATTCGCGAAATGACTCTCGCGGTGCTCGCAGCTATACGCTAGGTGAACCAGAAACTTCAACCGTTTGCTATCAAATCGCCAAGCGGACTGTTAACTTTCACGTTTCTCACGGCGACTGAGAATCATTTTTTCCCTTCATAGGAAAAATAAAAATAACTCGAATTTAAACACGCCTTTTATTTGATGAGCGATAGAAACCGATAATGATAGACACTTGGGTATTTTCGTCGGGAAAGAGAGAGATATCAGTGTGTTTCTAAACTTAGAATTACTCGTCATTTGATTTCGTCGTTTTACAATTCCGATCCCTTCATTATTAATCGTCAAACAAACTCTATTTATAGACACAAATCAAAATAACACCGTACGATTGTAAAAATATAATGAACAAAGATAATTTTATGACAAGAATGTCCGCTCTCAAAATGTATTACATATTCGCGGAGGAAAATCTTTCCCTTTCTACGAGCAAAATAAGATGTCAACAAAGATATTACATAATTGTTTACATAATTATATTGAAATTCGTTACAAGTATATTTAAAAAATTAAGTGTAAAAATTAAGAAACTTTCAATCAACTTTTAGGCTCTAACAATTCATTGTAGACCGGGCCTTAATGATGTCAGAGTTAACGTCCGAAGAAACAACGGAAATTTTTCAACGCTGAATTAAAATATAATAGAGACTGCTCCAAAGATAATTATCTCTTGTCTAGCATATTTCTACTCCTACATCGAGTTATCAGAAGATATTATCGATATGTCGATAATCCATTCTACGTCTCGCCTTCGTATCTTATGTTAAAGTCTATATTTCATCAACAGTTAGAGCAACGACATGTTTCGTAACACTTCGCGTAGTTATTGACATTGAGACAAACATGTCAAAGTTTTATCAAACGAAACTTCGACTATCGTATATCAACGGAACCGAAATTGTGTCGATTGCTGCGAAAGAATAACGCAAACAATATCTTCTCGTAAAACAAACTATTAAAGTATGTATTTCTCACACACATATTTTACTAAGGTATTTTTTTTACAGATCTTTTCTTGCGCGAGTGCAAAACATGAGACATAATGCTCCGAGGGTCCCTACCTTTTACGAACAACACGACAAATTTATGAGCTTGGAGGATAGACCGGAAAATAGTTGCTCCATTAGTAATGCCCGAAACTGTCGTAAACGTTCTATCTAATCTCTCGAATGCTCCGAAATATCTCTCGGACTTTTGTGTTTTCAGATTTCATTCGTCGAATTTTATGAGTCATAGAGGAAAAACTTACCACTAAGAAATATCGACCACGAGATGTCCTCGAGCCCGGTCCGGGTTTGACGAGCGTCGTCGTCCTGAGAAACGGCGATCCTCCGTCGTTATACACACCCGCGTCGTTAAGAACTTCCTATCATCCGCCGCCCTGGCGATCACACACTTCCGTCACTGTCACTCACTCACTTTACGAGCTCCTCGATTACGCCCTCCTAGAACCAAAACCGATATAACTCTATCAGCGGCAAGTCGGTGATAGACAGCCACTCGCGCCTCCCGATCTGTTTATTCGCGCGTCACTTCGCTTCCTTGTCGACGTCCGTCGTCGCGACGCTACGAAAGTTGCGCTCCGATTTTGCGCGATCAAGTAGATATCACACTATCCGCCGATCGTGATCGACAGGTTCCATCGAATCGATGTTCGCGGGAGGAAAAAATACCGACTCGTTTCCCCCGAACGGCGAGAGAGATACGTCCGTCGGATCGGAGCAGAGATTTCGTCAGATACAGGGCAGGTAGAGAGCACAAAGGCCCCGTCGCTCTTCGGGTCGAACGAAACTGTTATCACTATCCTCGTTGTTTCCCGTCTGTCGAATTAGACTCGCTCTCTCGCTTCCTTTCCTTCTCTTACTCTCTATCGTTCTCTTAACGAGAAAACACGCACTACGTACAATGCCGCACAGGCCAACCGCGCGCCACGGCACCCGCCTGTGAACTGAACGCCACCGCGACCTGAAGCCGGGACCCGACTAGTTCCTCCGGCCTAGGTAGTCCCCACCGCTTTCTCCTACCGTTCTCTCTCCCACCATTCTCCCTCTTTCTCTCTCTCTCTCTCCTGCCGCTCTCTCCCCACCCCCTTTCGAGAACACCCACGTTCGCTGTCGCGCGCGCGACCCTACGCGCGCACCATCCCCCGTGGATCCCTATCCTTCGCCCTCCCGTGCTCGCTCTCACTCGCTCAACCCGGCTCCCCATCTCTCTTTCCCCTTCTCTTTCCCTCCTTCTTCGGGAACTGTTCCTCCTCTTCCTACTCTCTCCCTCTACCATCCCGTCGCTCTCGATTTTCGCCCCTCTTTCTCTCTCTTTCTAACCCAAGAGACCCCTGGCCGTCCTCGTCCCGCTCACATTCCAACGGTGGTCGGCTCCTCTCTCTACGGCTGCCTATTCCTTCCCGCGCGCGCTATGCCATGTTCCGACTGCCTAACACCGACCCTTCACGTACGAACGACCGAACGACCACCCCCCCGTTCTCTTCGCCGGCACACGATCAACCATCTCTATCTTTCTCCCTCGTTCCACGCTGAGAAACCGCGCGCTGGAAGTGCACCCTTTGCCAAGGACTTTCCGGATCTCTCCCACCTTTGCCCGCACCTACCCACCCCATCCTCCGTTCGCGTCCTGACCAGCCGTTCCTTTCAGAAATATTTCGACGTCCGCGCGCATGTACATCCTTGCACCTGACTTCTTGGAGTTCTCCACGGCCGAGGAAGTGCGCCGGCCAATCCCGGGCACATGTTCGACACTTCCACTCGTGCCATTCTTCTCGGATCAGGCCGGGGAGAGACGGGCGAGGCGGGAGATCTCTTTATCATACTCGCGAGCAAGCAGGCTGCTCGAGGAAAAGGGTGTTACTCCCTTTTTTCCCCTTTGACCGTTGGATTTGCGTGCGACGACGATGGAATCGAGGAAGAAATTTTCGTCGAACGAAGCTCTGTGCACTAGTCACTTTTTGCGGTTCATTGATGCGAAGTGAAAGACTCGAGGTTTCATTCAATGCCGCAACTATCGTTTGAAATGATGAACGTCCAATATTTCGATATACAATTTCGGGCGAATTCGTATTCTTAAATAATTATTTCATCATTCTTTAATATTGCACGTTCGCTAGAGCGTTTCTGCTAGTTAATCTTTACTGCGTACTCGTCGTATCGTCAACAAAAAAAAAGGTATTATTTGAAACAAACTATTATTTCAAAATAACAATTACAATCCCGACACGACCGCGGGAGAAATTTTCACATCAGTGAAAATTGATTTGAGCTCGATACATTGAAATTTCAATACAACTAGATTAATTTGCGAGCCTGTTTATAAATTCCTTTCATTACGCTGAAAACCGTAGTCCACGGGGATTACTGTATATTTGCAGAATGAATTTTGGTAGGATCGCGTAATTGCATCACCACTATTTGCAAGACACTTTTCATAGCTCGCCCCATTCGACAAATGGCGTCGACGCGAGTGACATTTCCATTTCCACTGCGAGCAACGCGCATAAATTCGACACGCGCAACGAGTCCTCGTGCCACACGAGGTTACGCCAATTTCCACCGTAGCGCCCGCATCACGCCGGCCACAATTAACCGGCAATTAATTGTGCATGTAGATCCCCTTACTTTGAGGTATCGCGCATCCCGTAAGAGTGAGCGTCTCATACCAGCAGAAGTATCGCAAACTAGACGTTATTAGTCATAGTGGACGGCGCTATCTCATGCCTTAATGTATATCCTAAGTGCGTCTCACATATCCTAAGGGAGCTAACGTATCTATTTATCTATATGCCTACATATAGTTTACATGGCCGTATCAGTGACGACACCGGCGGAATTGAAATATCCCGCGTTGTACCGCTTTAATGAATAAATTGTCTCCAGCAAAGTTAGTTATGCTTTAAATTTACATCTGTTTTTGTGTGTACGTTACGTTCTTCTTTTTTTTTGAAGTTTCACTCTAGCGAAGATGTATGTATATGTATAATGAATATAGATTTAAAGCTTCAATGATGTATTCAAACCTTTTCCATGTTAAAGGCTGTTTATGTTTAAGTAGATCATTGGCTAACAAGAATTTTATTTCGTCTGTTTGAAAAGTGGACCAAAATCACTTTCAAAATAAATATTGGTACAATTTACGAGATGTAAAACAATGCGCAACTCTAACATTCTGTTTGCGAGCAAAAAGATATTACATTTAAGGCAATTAAAATGACTCTTCTCGATTCGACGACAACCGTCTCTCTATTACTTCATGCCTCTCCTTCCTCCTTTAATATCAGCCTCTTTACGCACTCTAGGATACTATCCGTGTATCGGGAGGGCTCCTTCCGAGCCCATCAAATTTCGCGCTGCCGCAAGCAAAAAAAGAAGCACGCAGAATTTAATTCTTGCCCCTTGGCTTGAACGTAGTCGCTCTTGAAAATTGGATTTTTTTAATGAAACCTCATTCGCCTGGAAGCAGCAGCTGAAGATTAAGTTTCACGGTAGACAATATGAGACTCGTCTTTAACGGTTCTTAGAAATGTATCGCAATAAGGCCCGTGAAATCACGTGTACGCGAAAAATCATATTCTGCTTATTTTACGAAAATCCAAGACACGAAATCAATAGCAGTGTTTTTTGAACAAATTCTATTTCATCGTGATTTGCCAGAGTTCGAAATTTTATGACGATGCTAGTTTCATCCTTTCGACTGTTAAATTCTATAACACAGAATTTAGTCTGTTCTGTTAACAAACCTGTTATGTCATGTTATTTACCGCCGCACTGCCACACATATAATTTAATCAAAATAATTTTAGTATTAACTTGCACTACTATCGAATATACGTCAAAGTGTCATCTCCTGTACAGATTATTTTAAAGCTATTATTTTTAAATATAAATGCCCCACATATTCTCACAAAGCATATATATAAATATGCCGTTTTGACTTCTGACACTTGGTATAAGTATTTTAAGTACGCGGAAAGAAGTGACAAATGTACGATATAAAAAGAATTGCAGCTTGAACTATCAACATGCTATCATATTCCTATAAATAATGTCTGTGAACAGTTGCACTCTAGTACGGTGTACTTATCCGAGGCTAGAGTTGCACTGTTTTTAATAAATAATTCAGTTTCACTGAAGTAACCATAAATTCAATTTTTATCTATAGCTATAATTGTAGTTCATGTTACAGAAAGATTGTTCAATCTATCTAATTAATAATAATGTATAAAGCTGTTATAAAGTCGAAACTTTATATCTTTATAATCAGTGCAATAGATCACCAATCTGCTGGGTCATCAGCGGTATGCAGAGATAACCTTGGGTCCTACGCACACAACTTAAAAATCACTACCGATCGGTCGACCGTAAAACTTCCGCTTATAGCGATTCCTTACTTTCGCTTTTACGGTGCGACAGCGCCGGATTATCGAAACGCTCTTGAACGCAATAAAACCGGTAATAACCATAATTTACATCTGTTCCATAACTCGTGATTTACGGGACTTAAAATTTTCATAAGCAAATAAGGATTGGTGCAAATACTTGGAGACCGACTGTCGCTCTCGCGCGTGTTTCAAAACTTGATGCGAAACGAATACCTATGCGTCCGGTGGATCTCGAAAACCTGATCTTTCCCCGCTCAGACCATAATCATATTCGTAAAAATAGCGATTACAGTGTTTTACACCCCGAAACATTTCTATTTTAATTCAAGGAAAGAAGTATGACATAAATGCGTTTAATATTATAACTTAATATTTTAATGCGATATAATGAAATAAAAACTAAAAAATAAAACATTTGTTATTTATAAAAATTCTAAAATTGTACATATTCATGTACCAATGAGAAAAACATTTAAATTTGCGCTGTTTACTGTCACTGTGTAAACAAGTTGATGTTATTACAAAAATTATCGATATTACTTACCCCTGAGATGAAATTTCACTTTATAATTTATAACGTAACATTTTATAGTCGCAAATAAAATCCGTATTTTGCTCGTCTGCATTAATTTACAAGTATCTTCCATACATCCTGCATAGATACGCATCGTGTCATGAGCACTCTATCAATTCATTACGTTACATCCCGGAACAAACGAATTTCGCAAGTCCCGAGAGAGCTGTCATACTACCATCGATCATATTTGCGCACTAACGAACACGTCTAGTCTCGAATAAAAAAAGTTGAGGTCGTTAACGACTCGTACACTAATTATATAGTTATAACCTCACGTTTGATAACTACACGGAGAAAATTTTCTTTTAAAATTTACCCTGAAAATCAAGTAATCGCGGGACAACGTGGCATTTTCGCCAACTTTATGAGAGTTTTTTGAAATTTTACCATACATTTTACTAAGTAAAATGTACACTAAATATAATCATTAATAAAAAGTATGGTAAAATTTCACAAAACTTACGTAAAATTCTTCGAAATGCCACGTTGTCCCACGATTACATGATTTTCAAGATAAACTTTAAGAGCTCTCTGTGTATTAAAGCAGCAGCGTATTCACGGTTTCGCATTTAAAAGAACTTTTTTTCTACATTTCCGACCATTTTCTAAGCTGACCTTGTGGCTGTCCGTCCTTTTTAGCCTTTTCTTTTTCCGTCTTTTTTTCATGACATGAAACGAACCCAGTTAGATACGGGTTGCTCGGCAGGTAAAAATTACGACTACAGTTTTGAAAGTTTGAGAACCATTTATGCCCAGTTGCGTCACGCAGCCCGTTTCTGCTGGATTCTTGACGAGAGGTCAGTGTGTTTTTAGCCCGTATTAACGGAAAAAATTGACTAGAATGATTGCCATACGATCCGTAACGAAAACGTCACTTTTCAAAAGATGTTTGTGGCGCGACATAATATATTGCAGGGTATTGCGCTTGACAAATGTTATATACGTGTAAATCATTTATGCAATCAATCATCTTTTAACAAAATAATTTTTTAATTTATTAAACAACTAAAAA